TGCCCCTCAAAACAACAGAACAAGATGAGAATGAAGCAATTCCAGTTTGCAGGACAAGGGGTTGTTTACCTGGAAGGACAGAAAGCACTGTCCCCTTCCCCAAGGTGACTCTGCCTGCGATGTTTACACCCTGACACATTTCATTACAAAAATGTCTCTGTCAGTCCTGCACAGGATCTCAAACACAAAGCAGCTGCATCCAGGCACCAGCAAATCTCCCTCACACAACAGGCTCCAGTCTCATGACATTCCCTGGAAGAAGGCAACATCTATTCCTCAACTCCCCCACACTTTTCCAAAAACCATTTCCCTTTGCCATTCCTAATTTTTAGAACCCGTGAGACACAACTCCCATCCATGGCAAAGCTTTTCCAGAATCATGGGGACCTGCTCCTGTGCAGAGACCTCATGGAAATTCCCAAGGTTGGGTGTAGGTGGATTTCAAAGGTGACTGTCAGACCAGTTGGTGCCCATGGAATTGGATACATTTCTGGCAGCCCAGACCCAGATCCATTTGCTGAGGAAGAGAGAGTAGCTTGGGAAAGAAGGGACAAGTCAGCAGATTCTATTCATATCCAAGGGATGACTGCTCCAGTCAGATCAAGGTATGTGCTCAGGGAGGTAGAAAGAGAGGAGAGGGATAACAGAGCATAGGAATTCCCACCAGCTGGGCAGCACTTGTACTCACTGGGCTTCACAACCAGCCGTGTCCCTGTCCCCAGTATCACTTTATAGTTCCCTGTGTCCACACAGTCCTTCACCCCCTAACAAAAACCATCAGCTCTCCTGCCACTTGCTCCTCCAGGGACCTCCAGGAGATCGGCTCCTTCCAAGCAACACCAGGCCTTTGAAGCCAGGAAGAACTGCAGCCTTGGGAAGAAATCTCTTGGCAAGCTCATCCACAGGAGGGATGACAGCTGGGATTGTGGTGCACACAAAAGCATTGTTAATTCACCCTTTTCTCTGCAAGGAGAAGCAGCCAGGGCTGTGTTAGAGAGAGCCATCAGCATTCCATCTTGATTTTCACTGGTGTGGATGAGATGAATTGTATATCCCTGAGCAAGAGGGCTCAGAACATCTGTCTGCTTATGTGAAAGGAGAGAACAGGAGCTGGCAGGGATATGTGGAAGGAGTAAATTCACTGTTGAGTGAAGCTCCCTTCTGCTGCCAGAGAAAGCAGAGCAAAATTCCTCACAAACTGAATCTGCCTCCCTCCACTACCCCAACACTAACTGATGACCCTAAAACTGTTCCATGGATTAGAGCAGGAAAAAGCTTGAAAACTTACTGGCATTTATTCTTAGCTGAGTTCCACCTCCAAAGATGACCTTGTTGCCATAACTAGTCACACAGTGTTTGCCTTCACAACAAAAACCCTGTCAGTCTCTGTGTAGGCTTATTCCCTGGAAAGCTGTACTTTGCTGGCCAGGTACCTCTTTTAAAACCTCACAGTTGGTTCATCCCTTTCAGCTCTGGCAGAGCTGACCCCTGAGGGCATCTTTGTCCCATGTTGAGGAAAGACGCAGAGTTATGATCACAGCTCCTCACTCAGCCCTGGGAAAATGGCCCTAAAATGCGACACCTTCTCTCAGGCCTTCCTACACACACTGTGCACTGTCAAAATACCTTCCTTGCTCCTGGCTGCTCCCTGTCTCTCAGCCTCCTCCCATGCACAAACTCCATCCCTGTGTAGACCACTTTCCAACACAATCCAAGTGCTTTTCGCCAAGTAATAGATATGCCTTTCCTATCCTCACTCCTCCAAGCTGCCTTTCTACCTACCAGGTTTCACCTTCAGTTGTGTCTCACTCCCAAAGGTAACTTTCCAGTGGATGCTGAATTCACACTGTGACTCTTCCATGAATAAAACCCACACACCACTTTTACTCCAGAAAGCAGTACAAGATTTCCCACAGAGATCAAGGTGGAAAAAACAGATATTACCCTTGTCACACACCTCTAATCCCTATATAGGGATATCTTCTTAGTCGCATTCCTCTGACCTTTCCAGGTAAAACCAATCAAGAAATACATGCAGAGGGAGTTCCAACCACGTGCCCAGGTGGGCAGATGAGAGTCACCCCCACTGACAGGGTGACCAGGTCCCTCTTCCTGCTCCGTATTTCAGCCAACAGGACACTTAACAGGGATCTACTCACTGGTTTTCACAAAAAGTCTGCTGCCAGGCCCAAAGGAGAGTTTGCTAACACCTGTCCCTGCAAAGTGCCACAACAGGGCCAGCTTTACCAAAACCCCACAGCTACCAGGAAGGAAACACCCAGAAGACACTGACATTTGGCTTTGCCAGCAGAGGCTGGAAAATACAGTAAAAGATAAGGGAAATCCCTAATTCCTGAGCTACAACAACATCCTCCTCCCCTCCCCAGGCTGACACAGAGCTGCTCTCCCTGCGACAGGGTCCTTGCCCACAGGGCTGCAGCACTGCCTGGAGCCCCTTCTGGAGCATCCAGGGCTGCCCAGGGCACAGCTGGTGAGACTCAGGCACTTCTCTCAATCTCACAGATTTATGTGCCTTTTCAAAGAGCTTTCCCTCTTTCCAAATACAAACTTTTTGCCCAGCCCACTCCTCCCACAGCAGCTCACAGCTTTTTCATTCCCAGAGAGAGGGCACTGGGATCTGTGTGCCTTCAGAAAGGCTTCCTAAGATTTACACCCCAACATTATAGCCTTGGACATCACTGCATTGCCCTGCAGGGCTAAAATGGACCTTTGAGAGGACTCACAGGGTGTCACTCCTCTCTTTGTCCCAGCTCCAGAGGTAGACTTGAGCCCATGCAAAGCCCTGAACAAAAGCCATCACAGCAGTGCTCTCATCTCCCCGGAGCATGGAAGCCCTTGGTGCAGCTGCCAAGGAACTTCCCAGCAAGGCACAGGTGACACTTTTCCAATAATCACACGGACCTCAAGTTGAGATTTACTCTGTGCAAGCACAGCCCCATTACAGACTACACTGAGGGCATTCTCAGAGCGTGGGGTGGCAGAGAAGGCATTTCAAGTGTACAAAGGCAAAAGGAAAGAATGAATATAAAAACATTCCCATTGCAGGAGAGGAATTTGGAAGACCAGTAGCAAGCTGCACACTCACTGGGCTGGATGGAGAGTCTGGTCCCTGAGCCAAAGGCCACCTTTCTGGAGCTGTCCCACAGCATTTCCTTCCCTAACAAAAAGCTCGGCAAGCCACAGCAGAGCAGCACCTCTCCCCCAGCCTTTACCCAGCCATACCAGGGCTGGGGAATCACAAATCCTTGTGTCTGTATCCCACACCTCAGACTTTTTTTTAGGATCTGAAGGTGCACTAGAGCAGGAATGCAGCAAGAGGAGACAGCCTGGAGAGAAGAAACAGGAGCAGAAAACCTACTTGGCAGAACACGCAGCTTCGTCCCTGGCCCAAACTGCAGTTTTCCTGTGTTGCTGGTCACACAGTGTGATACTCTCCTACAAGAACCCAGGGCTCAACCTGGCTCTCACCCCTCTGGTCTCCTTTTGAGAGGAGAGGGACGAGACCCTTGGACAGGAGATGGCTTTCCCTTAGGAACTGCAACAGAGAGAGGAGGGAAAATAAAACCTCAGGGGTCACTTTCTCAGGCTGTTTGCAAAATCCCTGTCACTGACTGGCATTGAGACTTTTCAGGACATGGTGCCCCAGGGCTTGGTGTTGGTCTGGTATCCAAAATAGAAAAAGCACACTCTGTCCATGGGGTTTGTAGTTCAGCACCAACATTACTACCCCTGACAGCTCAGTTTACCTTTGGTCTCCTGCTTATCCTGTGCTGCTGCTGGAGCACAGCCCCAGGACAGAATTGTTAGGTGACAGTGCAAACCAATTGCTCCACAAAGTCACTGCACTGTTATTTCTGCAGCTGAAGTCCAACATTGTCTATATTGAGTCCCCCTTGACTCAGAGGAGAGACAACTTACCTGGGAAAATGAGAAGTTTGGTTCCACTTCCCCAGGTGAGTTTTACCCACCCTCCAGAACCATCACTGTGTGACAGCTCATTACAAAATGGGCCTTTTCATCCAATCCCCCCAGAGGCTGTTGGAGGGCTGGGATCTGCCTCTGAAAGAGGTTATAAACACCCAAACACATTTTGGTCTCCTCTAAGTTCTTTTTGCCAAATACCTTTTTCCGTGTTCAAATCCCTGGGAATAACTAGATTTTATTTTGGTCACTAAAGGTGTCAGAGATGGGAAGAACCTATCCCTGAGTTATCAGGGAACATTTTACGATCCCTGGCCCAAAGGCTGGTTGTACTGGAATGGAAAAAAGGATGGGAATAAGAACCTGAACCTAGCCTAGGATGAGGGTCTCTGGTGCAGTGCACATTTCTGTCATTTCACTGTCCATATCACATTTTCTAAAGGGCAGAAGTCCTCCAACTGAACATGCTACTAGGCACAAGAGTCTCTTGAAATAGTACCCAAGGTCTCCCTCCATCTGTAATGTGATCCAGATAAAAGTAATTCTGCAGTGTGTCCCAGTGGACACCCAAGGATTTCCAAAAATTAGGCAAAGGAAAACTGCAGACTCACTGGGCTGGATGGACAGTCTGGTCCCTGAGCCAAAGGTCACCTTACCATAGCCAGAGCCAATATCACACAACATTTCCTTCCTTAACAAAAGGCCCAGCAAGCCAATGGGGAGCAGCACCTCTTCCCCAGCCTTTGCCCAGCCATGCCCACGCTCACAGGGCCAGCAGAAGGGAGACAGTGCTTTACGCTGCATTACCTACCACCCTGGGATGTAATGGCACAGCACAGCCTTCCCACAGGGCAGCTGGGACATTTGGGAGCATCAAAGTGTGGCTACTTTGTCCATCCCAGGCAAACTGAGAGCAGGAAGGGTTGTTTTGGGCATTCCCTTAAAACAAAGCCCATCCCTGGATATGGACACCCAGAGATGACCAAACAACCAGCCAGGCTGCTGCTCTCAACCACCCAAAGAACAGCCTCAGAGAGAACACACAGCACTGGACTTACCTGGCCAAACAGTGAGTCTCGTTCCAGAGCCAAAGACAAGTTTATAAGACCCATATCCTGTGTTCACACAGTGTTTCTTCCCTCAACAAAAACCTTCCTCACCACTCGGCAAGGCTGGTCACCTGCATCTCCACTGGGTAGTGCTGAATGTCATTAGCACTCTAATTGCAGGATCAAGGACACTGTTGGACCTGTGGATACAAACCCTGTTTGGGAGCCCTGTTGCTTCTGCCCAAAGCCAGTGCCTGTCTTGGAGAAAAGAAGGTGGCCTCTAACCCCATAGCTGAAGGGTCACAAGCCCAGGAAGGGCATCCTGGAGATCTCAGTGGGCAGGGGGCTGTTTTACTTGACATGGAGGGAGACTACAAGAAAGCAGTCGTACTTACTAGGAAAAACTTGAAGTCCTGTCCCTCTGCCAAGTGTGAGCTTGTGTCATAGTTCACACAGCTGTTTTCACCTCAACAAGGACACAAGCTCATCCACATCCCAAGAGACAAAAAGCAACCCTTCTGGCATGGCCATGGCACAAAATGTCCTGAGCAAATGTGTTTAGGACCCCATATTGCCTATCTGAAAGCAAGGACATAGATTACCGACAGAGTAATTGTGGACATATCTCAGTTAGACCTGTCTCAACTCACATATCACTGGTATGATTTTTTTGTATCTTTCTTTTTTATATTTACAACATTGAGCAAATAATGGCTTAACCTTACTTGGTTTTACCCTCAGCTGCATTCCACTTCGAAAGGTGAATTTGTTTCCATAACTATTCATACAGTGTTTTTCTTCAAAACAGAAACCTTTTTTTCTCCTCCAGTACCTAATTAGATCCTGCTTAAGATCTTTTTAACTTAGTCTACCCAGTAAATTCCATTTCCTTTAAAGACTTTTCCTAGCTGATGGTTTCTTTCAGTTTGGTCAGAGATGGTCACTCACTGCACGTTTTGTCCTTCATTCCTGCAATGAAATGCTACATCAAAATTCCTCCTCCAGCATTAGATCAGAATTAAAACAGAGATCTCCCCCTGGACCATCCTACATGGCTTCAAAATACATTTCTTGATTCCCCAAACAAACAATGCCCTGCCTGTTCCCATCTCTTTCCATGACAGTCCAGCTTTTTTTCTTCTTCTTTTTTTTTTTTTTTACCAAGGAGTGAAAACCTGGATGGAAACCTGCCTGTATTCAGACGTAGGAGCAGCTGAGCAAGGGGTAAGACAGTTTTCCCAGCTGAGAAGGAACTGCATCTTCTGGGACATTGTCTGGGTTCTGGACAATGGAAATAAAAGGACAGTGTGAGGTCTGCAGGACTGGAAGTTTTCTGGGAATATGTAGTAGTGAAGAAAACTACTCAAATGTTACAGCTCTCAATGACACATATGCTATAAGAAAGTCCAGTCCTCCAGATAGGTACTTAGCTTTACAAAGAAGTTTTTTTTCTGGTACAGGGTCAGCTCTGACCTTCTGCCCACGGAAGGATAGAGCAATGGAATTTTAATGGTTGTTTCAAAGAGGAATTAAGCTTTCCTATTCTTAACTCCTTCAGGCTTTCTACCTACCTGGTTTCACTGTCAGTTGTGTCCCACTTCCAAAGGTCATTTTCCAGCTGGATGCTGAATTCATGCAGTGATACATTCACTAACAAAAACCACACACAACTTTGGGGCACACAAATATGTGTGTTTTTCAAAAGAGATCAAGAGGGAACACAGGTGTCATCCTTGTCACATACATCTGACTCTAAAAATTATGATGTCTTTCTAGCTGCATACCTCTGATCTTTCCATAGAAATTCAGATAGAAACAATCCTGAATGCAGTAGAAAACCAAGCCCCGTTCCCTCTTCGCATAATGCAGCTGAAGTTCTTGGACAGTTTTAAAGTAGAATGATTTTTGTCATGGTTAAGAGACAGGAGAATCTCAGCCTTGCACTTATAATGTGAAATAACTGTTTGTTTTAAGATGTACCTGATCTCAGAATTAGTTTTGTGCCTCTCCCAAAGGTGACTTTTCAGGAAGATAGTTACCCCACTGTAACCAACCTTTATACAAAAACTGTTAAGGAGAGAAGCCCCAGCCTTTAACAGCCAGAACAGGCTGCTAGACATTTCAGAGGGAGATAAAATTTCCACCACTTTTTAAACAACTAACATAGCTGTTTCCAAAACTTCTCATGATCTGAAAAAGGAGTCAGATCAACCAGCTAGTCAAGCTCAAAAGCTGAGCAGACCCATAAGAGAAAGAAGCCAAGAAAAATTAAGCAGAAGGAAACTTCCAGAGAAAACCAATTTAAGGTCCTATTTTTTCTTGTTTATTTAGTTGTAAAGGAACACAGTAAGGGATCCAAACCCAAGTCCCAGAGACCAGCTCTGTCTAATGTTTTGAGTAAACAAAGGCTATTCATGAACACTAATCTCAAATACATTCCCCTTCAGGGTGTCTCCTGACTGACTGACTGCTTGGACAACACAAAGGCCATTCACTAATTTTCAGCAGAAGAGCAATTTCCAAGCTGTTCCACTCCAGCAACAAGACAAGTTAAAAGCTAATTGTTCAGAATGTGATCTCCTTCCCCATTCCCTCTGTGCTTCATATCAAAAAGAAGCTTTTCTCCATTTTGAGGAAGATCTAACAAAAGACCTAAAAGACTCTGTCTGTCCTAACCCTGTTGGTGAAGAGATACCTACTGGGCTTTATCAGCAGCCTGGTTCCTCTTCCAAAGGTCAACCTGCCTGCATTTCCTGAATACACACAGCGAAAAGCTTCCTTATAAAAACTCCATGGTCTTCTGAACGTTTCAAGTTCCATGGCAGGAAACATGATTAGTCATTGAAATAAAACTGTATGTGCAAAATGCCTGTTACAGATCCTTACAAAATGTAGGCTGGGTTGTCTCTTTTCTGTCTCCTCTCAGGTTTTGTGTCAATTATTTTTACAGTTTAGGAAAGATGAAGTGCCCTGAACATGGGATGCTTTGTCATAGGAGGAATAAAGACACCCCCCCATACGGAAATCATACATCTATTAACTTCTATTTTCAAAGTTGTGCATTGGAAAGAGAGAGAAACATTACCAGAAGCACTTCATTCCCCAGTCCTGAAGAGTTTTGCAGGGGAAGATGTAACTGGACAGTCAGAATATCTGGCAATGACACCTGGCCTAGAATTTGACAGGAGAAGAACTTTTGCAAGCTCTCCTATATCTGTTAATGCATATTAAATCACTTTTTTATAGGACAGAGACTTGTCAGTTCTCTGAAAGGTCATCTTCTCCTTTCTGCTTCTTGCTCACGTAATTCCACACATGGTGAGCCCTTGAGGTACTCTTCAAAAGAGATAAATGTGAAAAACACAAGGAAAATCCATTCTTTTCTATGGTCTGCCAAGGAATACCATGAAGCTTGATCAACTTGAGCAATGAGACAGCTCTATAGTTTGGGGAAAGATTTCCCTCTCTCTGGCACCTCACTCTGATTTACATGGTTTCCATTTTGCTGAGAATCTAGTCCTTGCTTCCTTTGTGTGAGTAGAAACTAACTGTAATTACTGGAAGCACTCCTCCCATAACAGCTACTCCCCATGAACTCTCAGACATTACAAAAAAACCCCAGATTTCTTCTTGTTGCTGAGTTTACACTGAAGGGTCCAGCCACGTTATCATTTCATCCTTACAAACAGTAGATACAGAAGGAGTTTCGCCTCCCAGGATAATTACATAAAACCAATTCCAAGTATCAGGTTCTCCAATACTTTTCAAAACATTTTTGTTCAGATCATGCACTTACTTGGTTTAACACTGAGACTCGTTCCTTTGCCAAACTGTAGCTTACTATAGCTGATGCTGGATTCACACATCATTTAACTCCTTTGCAAAAAACCTTTCCTGTTCTGCAACAAAATGGGGAAACTCCTGATACGTGATGATTTCTGGACTGGAACAAACTAAGATAATCCCATCCCAGACTTACTGCACCCAGCAAAGAAAATCTAGGCATATATTTGGGATCTCAATAAGTTTTTTCCATTCTTTAAGCTACCTGGAGAGGAAAGTGCTCTCACCTGAACTACAAACCTCCATTCGCTGTTCCTCACTAAGAGTTCAAGCCATATATGCTGACTGAAATCTAAGGGAGAGAGAGAAAGACAACTTACCCTTGCAGTCAGATAATTAACTGTCCTCTTAATGAGTTTGTGTGATAGGTAGGCCGTTTTCAGCTATACATTGCACATCCTGTATGGTCTCACATAGATTTAAGTGGATAACTTGTTTATGTGAAGTTTTTAGAAATGCAAAAATTGAGATGTTACAAATGCAACCCCAACTAGTTATCCTTTCTACACCCAATCAGGGCATAAATCACTCGCTGGATCCTGAATAGGATCCGGATCCAATGAAGTCTGTAGGTTGATTAACCTAGGCATTGTGGTGCCCACTTACTAAGAAAACCTTTGATTTCCTCCTATCATTTTCTACATGTCAATTTTCATTACCAGCATCCCCCTACTTGTATCACAGCCCCCCAAAAAAATCTCTGCACTTTAACAGATATTAGCTTGGAAACAAAAATCTGGCTCCAAAGGCTCGAATACAAATCCCATTATAAAGTACCTCCTGGCAATTGAAAGGGCAGGACAGAATTTAACAGATGCTTGCAGTTACCCTGCCTGTTTATTCTGCTGCAAGCCTCTAGGATGAACCTTAATTCATTATTCCCTGCTGAATCTCTGGGAGAAGATCTCTAGGCCCAGAGCACAAGGACATTTCTGAATCCAGCTCTTCTGAGTGCTTGGGAGTCAAACGAAATGGACTCTGCTGGACCTGGGATGTGCCCAGATGCTATTTTGGAGTGAAAACAAATGCTGAAACACTGTTGCTGAAGCACTGCTTTTCCTGGAAGACTTACTTGGAAGCACAAACAGACGAGTTCCTCTACCAAAAGTGAACTTTCCATAAGCACCAAACACACTGTGAGAAGGTGCTTTCTATAAACCACTGCAGGCTGACTTGAACAGATTCCCAATCATCGCTAAATGACAGGGTCAACTATTGC